AAACCGGTGTGTGTGTGTGTGTTCACCACTGTATGACCTTTGACATTAACAATCGTATAAAAATAAATTTCTCCTTTTTTTTTTTAATTATATTTAAAAAAAGAAAAATTTTAATTAAAATATCGTCATCGTTAAAATTTCGTTAAAAAATTTAATTTAAATAAAAAAAAATTTTTTCTGACACGACAAGAGACTATTATTATTATCATTATTATTATTAAAATTATAAATTCACATTTAAAGTTAATCGAAGTATATAATTTTAAAAATATAAACGTTTTTATAGCGACAATGGGGGTGGTGCTGGTGGTGAAAGGCGGTGGGGTGGTTGAAAACAACAACACATGTCGGTTATTATTATTTAAGAAAATAATAATAATAATAAAGGGAATTAAAATCCGAATTTAATAATTGACATTTTCTCCATTTTAAATACCAGTAATAAAAAAAACAATAGAAAAATGGGAAAGGGAAGGGAAAGGAATGGGAGGGTGTGGATTGGGAAAATTTCAAAAAGTATTTTTCAATTTTAAGCATTTTTGAACAAAAGTAAAACTAAAAAAAAAATAAGGGTTGAAAATTATATAAAAAAATTTTTTAAATTTTCCGTTTTTTTGACATTCGACCCCATAAATGGTAAAAGATTTTTTTTAAAAATAAACTTCCGGTTAAATTTTTCAAAAAAAAAAAAAAACTGATATAAAATTATATTTGTTTTTCGATATATATATATATTGTTTAATAAATACGTTTTTTCGGTTTTAATACCGGATACGCACAAAATATACATTTAATTAAAAGTTAATTTTATTGATTAATAACCGGAAATAGAAATTAAAAAAAAAGAAAATTCTTATTCTTACCTTTTACGGTAACATCAACGTTAACTTCGCTTCTCCATCTATCATATTTTCCTCTTTTACTCGAAACGCATCTATATTCTCCGGCATCTTGATAAATAATATTTGATAATAAAAGACCTGGTCCTGGACCTACAGGCTCCAATCTTCCATTTGCGACAACCCTGCTCCAACATCCCATCGCTTCTTCCGGACATTGTAATTGAACGACTCCTCCTAATGGTACTTCAACTTGTCGTCCTCTCGGTTGATTATTGACAATCGAATCATGCGTGAAATTTTGTATTAGGCCGTCTAAAAGTTAAAAAAAACAAACCGGAAATGAAATTTTATTTCCGGTGGGGGGGGGGTTTCCAAAACATCGATAAATGAAACCAAAAAAAGGCGTTAAACTATAAAAATAAATGTAAAATATTTTAATACATAATAAAGTGAATTCTAAATAGGTGCAAACATCAAAAGATAGATTAAAGTAGACCATTCACAAAAAAATATATATAAAAGTATAATAATAATAATAATAATAGTAATAATAATAATAATAACAACAACAAGAACCGACGAAGGGAAAAAGGAAATTGATGGCAAAAATAAAAAAAAAAAAAAAGGGTTTTTAGAAAACGATTCAGTTTCGGCTCTCAACCTCTCCTCCTTTTACCCCTTTCCCCCTCTCCTTTCCCCCCACGACCCCCTTACCCTCGTGCTCTTTTTCTTACACCGCCCCGAAAAATTTCATTCCCGAGAGAATTAACAAGATGGAAGAATCCGATAAAACCTTTTCTTGAATCCCATTTTTTTTTTTTTTTTGTTTTTAAACGAACAATAAATAAATGTTGATGAGAACAAGGAAGATTACCAAAAGAATAAATAAATAAAAAAATTCTTCCCTCCCCTACCCTACCCTCTCTCCTCCCCCTCTTTTTTTATTTAATAACAAAATGAAAACAATATTATTATTATTATTATTTAAAAATTTAACAATAATTTTTTTTTTGTTTTTTTCTTTTCACTTGCATTTAAGTGAAAGTATATATATATATATCTAATTAAAATTTATTACTCTTTTTATTACTCTATTTTATTACGGACATATTTAAAAAAGGATTCAAATAATTTTTTTTTTACCATAGAGTCGAAAACAAAAATTTTTTTTAACGTCATTTCCGTTTTAAAAAAAAAAAAAATTAAAATTGAGCCTAAACACACAATTAAATTTAAAAATTATTATCATTATTATTATTATTATTATTTGTTTGTTTTTTTTCATTTTTCTAAAGCGTAATAAAAAAAATAACAATAAAGGATGATGTATAATTTTTTTTTTTAAACCGGAAACAGGAAACCAAAAGTCTTTACATTAGCGGTCACGGCATATGTAAAATTTCACAAAATTCATGTAAATTT